CCCCACACTCTGCCCCAAGCTCCACACACAGCTGCCGAAGGGGGGGTGTCTAGACCCCCCCCACGCTGCAGGGGTTCAACGTGACGGGCCTGCAGTTCTCCTACGCCAGCGACTGCGCCGGGTTCTTCGCGCCGGGCACCTGGATGGGGCTGCTCACGGCCCTGCTGCTCGGCGCTATCTTCGCCTGCGGCCTCCACATGCTGCTGGGCCTCAAGACCATGGACCGCTTTGACGACTCCAAGGGGGCCACCATCGCCGTGCCCCAGGGCGAGTAGGGCGGGGCTGGGTCCTGCTCCCCCCGAGCTGGGACCCCCAGGCTCTGCACGGGGGCCTGAGCTGTGTGCGCCCCTCCCCCGGACCCTGCTCTTCTCTCTTCCACCCCCCTCCCCCGAGCTGGGACCCCCAGGCTCTGCACGGGGGCCTGAGCTGTGTGCGCCCCTCCCCCGGACCCTGCTCTTCTCTCCCCCTCCCCCGAGCTGGGACCCCCAGGCTCTGCACGGGGGCCTGAGCTCTGTGCGCCCCTCCCCCCAGGCTGTGTGCAGTGGGGCCCGTGCAGCCCCCCACACTCTGCCCCAAGCTCCACACACAGCTGCCGAAGGGGGGGTGTCTAGACCCCCCCCCTGCTGCTCTAACCCTGCCCCCCCCACTGGGGGCTGTTTCTTATTTATTGGGGGCCCTGCCCCCCCTCCTCTTCCCACAGCCCCTGAATAAATCGTGTCTGGGCCCAGCCCCTGTGTCCGTCTGTCTGTCCGGGGCTCGTAGGGGGCCGGGAGGGGCCTGGGACTTCTTTCTCTGGCGGAGGGAGCGGGGGTGGTGTCTCGCTGTGGACCTCAGTTGTGGCGGAAGGATCTGGCGTAGCCATGGAGAGAAATAAACCTGGGACTTTGTTTTCTGGCGGACGGAGACAAGCTCATGCGACTGAGAATAGGCACTCATTTATGCGGCGGAAGGATCTCGGGCTTTTTGCCTTCGGGAGAGAAGGCTACGCTACAATATTGAACCGGGATTAGTTTTGTCGGCGGAGGGATGCGGTGCTTTGACGGGGATGTCGGCACTCTACTTATTGGCGGAGGGTTCCCACCTCTGGCGGTGAAAAGGCCCTGAGCCGGGGTTTGCCTGCAGCGGAGGGGGGGGGGGGGGGG